ATTTATCCAAAAAAAGCTTGAATTGAGCATCAAGTTTTATTTAAAATTTGTTTTTAAATGCTCAGTGTACTTTTATAGTAATTTTAGTGCTTTTAAACTTGAGAGAAGTAAAACCCATGGGGGTTTATTGCACTTAACCTTTTAGAAGTTTAAAATACTCCTCAAACACGACTTTAGCCAAAGGGAGCTGTGGCATTCATGCAAAGAAGATCCAAAAAACCTCCACCCTCCATGGCATCAACTCTCTTCTGAAAGACACATCTGTGAGAGGCTCTGGAAACGCTGGCTGTGCCATGATAGGAAAGATCACTTCTTATAGAGAAAAATCATTAAAAGCAAACCAGAAAACTCTGAAGCTCTGCCAGTGTTCAGTGACTGTCTTCTCCCATTTCTCATCTGTTTTTAGTTTATTTAGACTATAAACTTCTCAGAGGAGCACTGTTTCCTTTTTCTTTTTAAAAATTAACATTGCTTGTTCCTGTTGCCGTTTGGACTATCGGCTGTGTCGGGGAAGGGCCTTTGTTACTATTACCTTGTGTGCTGTTTGCACAGTTTGCAACAAATGTTTCTGATGCTCCTAACAACCTGTGCTTGCAAAAGTACCATCTTTAACTTTCGATAAGTCTTGGGCTGATACTCAACAAGCAGGGCAAGCAGGGCCTTTGCCTCTTCTTCTTTTTTCCATTTTCCATCCATTTTTTTTTTCTTTCCCTGGTGAATAGCTAGATGGATTTCAAATTGTGTCAATTAAGTTGATTCTAAAATTCTTCTGTTCAAAATGCATATGGAAATACTGTTTTCATTGTCTGAAATCATAGAAAGGGTAATATCTGATGCCTTCTGTCATTTTTCCTGTGTATTTCCAGTAAGTGGTATGTATTTAAAATCTCCTTAGATTTGACTAAACATCCGTAGAACTGAATATAGTGTCCATTCTTCAGAACAGCAACTCTGGAGAATTTGTTGAGCTTTAAGAACTTTTGTAGCCTTTACAAAATGTATTTTCAGTGATTCCCTCTGTCCACACTCTTTGATGGTTTTGAGCGGTATGTTTCAGTTTGACCTAAACCCATCACTGGCTAAAGGTGGCCAGATCAGAAAAGGTCACTTGTACTTAAAGGAGTTTTGTAAGCTGGCTTGTCTTCTTTTAACTGTGCTGAAATATAATTCATAGGTTAAATAGCTTTAATTATTATAGTTAAACATAATACAGTCCCTGAGTGTTAAAGAGCAAGGCATGGTACTGTTGTTATGCATGGGGTTTTGTTTGGTGTTTTATTAACTGTCATTCAAACTCCCCATCAGCTTGACAGGCCATTATATTAAACAAGGGAAGTGTGATCCTTGCTCTTTGGCTGGACTGGGAGTCTCTGGGGTTAGAGTCAGGCTGGTAGGAGAGCTGCTCCTCCAAGCTCACTGGTGATTTGGTACATGGTTCTGTTGGCACTGACAACAGATGCTCGAAAGCCAAAGTGTGTGAGTTGTTAAGCAGAGGTTTAAGTTGTAGCTTGGAACTTTTCTGACTGAAGTCCCTCCTAGATCAGGTGTTTCTTGTTGGAGGAGGCGAGGAAGAATGTTATGTGCAATGGATTACAAAATGTTAGTATTACAGAGTACAGATCTTTCTGCAACAACTCTTACAGTTGCAAAATCAAAAATTGCTGAGGCACTGTCTAAGACCTATTTTAAGGTCTGTTGGTCTGTTCACATTAAGTCAAAATAAACTGTATATTTTTAATTCTGTTGTAAGTTTAATTCATGTCTGTGAATAATTCCTACCTTTTGTTGACAATTCACAGTAAGTAATTAAAGCTTGGCTGCCAAACTCTCAACAAAAATAATGTCCAGAATGCTGCTGCTTTAATATTTCAGATACAACTTGCAAGGCATGGGATTAGGCTAATTAACAAAAGTCTGGTAGGTAGTGAGAGACGAAGTATGGTTTCCTTATAGTTTATGAAGAGTGTGGAAAGGAGTAAATTTTTCTTTAAACAGAGGAGTTTTTGTAAAGAAGCAGAATTTATCAGCTGTTAACCTTTAAAACTGCCACCCTTTGTCCCTCAAACCATTTCAATTCTGCAGAAGGTCTGTTAGGGAATATGCTGGTGGTTTCTGTTCCTTTCTGCCGGCTGGTGTGTGTGGGAAGGCTTTCTGGAGTTGAGTGCCATCTCGTGGTGCCTTGGTAAGCATCCCAGGAAAGGGAAGGGAGGGGAACAACCCCCGGGCGTTATTAACCTGTGAGGATTTGGTTAGTGGGGAGATGTACAAACTTGTATTTACCATAGAAAAATATTAATTGTGTGGTGATCTGCATTTTTCCATCATGCTTAGTAGAAGAGATTGCTACTCTGGGCCTAAAATGTTCATCAGCTCATTTTAGTTACCTCAGTGTGTCACATGAAATGACCCCAAAAAGCTGACAGCTAATAGAGCCTGTGGTGGCCTTCTGGCCGTGCTAATGCACAGTACTCGTCTTCTCTCAGGAGGCAGGACTCCTAGTTAATGGTGATGTACAGTGAATTAAAAAGATTAATCTGTTGGCAACATACAGGTAAACTTAAGTTTTGTTTATTTCAAAGCTGTTGTAGTGCCTGTGCTGTAAAATTGGTATCCGTGGAGTAGCTTAAATCTTCTGATTTAAATGACCACAGAAAATTTTCAAACATGAATCCAAGCTGTGAATTTTTTCATTTATATATAACTGTGTGTAAAACTGTGCCCTACCATTAAAATATCAAACCATTATTTGCATTGGAAGTAGATTTTGCATGAGCTAAGCACGTTATTTTGCCTTGAGTACACTGAGCATGGGACACAATCTATAGCAGTGGCACTTTCCACTAAATGTTTCCTCCCTCTGCAACTATTTACTATTCCAGGGCTAAAGCCAAAAGGAAGGTTTTGAACCTTTTTAGTTGTATAGATTGACCCCCCAAATTCTAACAGTGTGGCTGATGTGACTGTGGGTGTGTGGACATGTGCACAAAAGCTCCCAATGCCTTAGAAGGGGCTGCATCAGGAACAGGAATTGCAATTAAAAGCTTGGTACAGAAATGTTCTGAAGTTAGCAAGATCATAGGTATTTTGTAGATTTGTTAGGATCTCATTTACAACACAAATAAAATCAGCTAATGTTCCACATGTTTAAAAGAAAAAGTAAAATAATAGAAGAACTGGGGGAAGGGAAACCTCTTTTGTCTCCTGTAATGGAGGTTGCACGATTGCAAGCAAGCTGACGCAACTTAGACCAGTAGTATCAAAGGTTGCTAATACAACTGACAAAACTCATGTGAACATCTGATCTTTGTTGCTGGCTGAGTGAAGCAGATTAATGCAGACTCTGTGTCCGAATTTAGGAGGGCAGAACCAAACCAAAAGATTACCTATCTTTGATTACAGTAAATAAATGTCAATCTGGAAAAAGAAACATGAGAGTAAAGAAAAGAGGAAAACACAAAAAACCTCAATAAACCTGTCCAGATGGGCAACTCATGCCAGTTTGTTAGGGGAAAAAAAAAAAAACCCTTCATCTTTACAGTGATCTTGCTAAAGTGGTCACACAAGTGCATCCTGCAAAATGGATGTAGCCAGATAATGTTGGTCATTACCGTAATGCTTGTCGTTGTCAGGCTAACAGTCATCCCATATGCTTAGTTTTGGGTCTTTTTAAAAAAAATAAAAAATGAGGAGATGGTAGCTAGATTAAACACTTAAATTAAAAAAAAATCAAATTCTTAATTCTTGATGTAGATCTGTGTGCATTAAACAATATGACAGCGTAATTTACTCCTGATTTAAGCATATGCTTAATGATAATTGCTTTTCATAGTAAGTGGCTGTCATACTATTAATTGTAAACATGGTTTAATGGTATGTCTGTGAAGATATCAGAAGAGAAAAAGAGCCTTCAAGTGCCACCTTTGCCTGGGTACTCCTGACATGTCAGCTTGTGTATCTTTATCAATATTTTCTGCACTTTCTGCTGGACAAGTGCCAGCCTGGAACACTGTTTTCTATGTGAAAAAGCTGTTGGTCTTAGAGGAATAAAACCAAAAATAGTTATCACCTATAAAAATAAGTAGAAAAACTTACGGGACGGCAGAATATGAATACCCCCCCATGGAGTATTGGCACTTGGTTTGTGCTCTGTAGCTATGGAAAAGAGGGAAAAAAGGGTTTATATTTGTTGGACTGGAGAACGGATGTTGTGCAAACAAATTAATTTATCAGAGAGTGTTTAGGTCCTGTCAAGAAGTAATGAAGACTGAAACAAAACAGACATCTGAATGCTGTTTCTTGTGTGCTGTTTTTATTTTTTTGCCAGTATAGAAGGAAAATTAAGTGAGTGCTGTTGACGTACTTGAAGCTGATAGCATCTTCAGATTGTGTTGCTGACGTTCTTTTGTGGGTTTGGTGGGTTTTCGGAACATGTAGATTTGTAACTATATTCAAGCAAAATCTAAGGGAACCTCCTGCAAGAAAATGCTTTTAAAATTACCAGTTTTTAACCTGAGGTATTTGGGAGCTTTTTGCCTTTTTTTAAGAATAAATGATGTTGGTGCAATGCTTTCTGCAGTGTAGTTACAAACCGCTACTGTTCGAATGGTTCTGGAAAGAAAACATAACGTATGTTGGAGGGTTTAGGAGAGATTTGCTTTATAAGTTGAGAGGAATAGAAGCAGGAAAGCACTGTCACCACCTAATTTCCTATACATGTTAAATGATTTAGAAACAATCCAGAAACATTGAAATAAGATGCCATTCTGGCATCAAGATACCTCTGCATGCGATTTCTTCAGATTATTCATTAGGAGCTTTACTGGGGTAGCATTAACTGAGAAAATGGTCAGAATTACAGACAAAAACATGAAGGGAGAAGCGTTTTATCACATCACATAATCAAGTTTTATTCTGTTGTTTTTCAGCATTACCATATCACCAAATTTATTTTTTTAAATATTTTTTTATATTTCTTTTTTTTTTTTTTTTTCCATTTACAGATGATACTTTGGGATTGGGATTTGAGGCAATGGTACAAGCCCTATTACCAGGTCAGTGTATTAAGATTCTAGTTATTCTTTTGTGAAATGTGTTTGAATACAGAGTTCATTGTAAAGTTTCATATTTCAATTTTTCTGTTGATGTTTTGTTTACCTAAGTTGTCCTAGTGAATTCTATCTCTGTGTAGCAGAGGCTTGATACTTAGCAGTTCTGACCAAGCTGACAGGGATCTGCTTCCTGCGGTGTATATGGGAAAACCTGAGACAGGAGTGGGGGTTTTTGAAATAGCCATTAGCATAAGGCTGGGGACTGATTTCCCAGCAGTGTCACCAAACTCAGGTCTCAGGTCAGATTCTTGCTTTTTTTCTCCTGACTGCTTTTTTCTCTCCCTCTCTCTTGTATCAGGGGTGGCATCTAATCAACTATACCTGTTTCTCAACAGAGAATTATGCCAAATAAAAACTTTTTTTTGGACAGAATTGTTAGGATTTGCTTCAGTAGAATAAGGGTTAATAAAAGTAATGAGGCTGTGGAAGCTGCATCTCTGTGAGTGGCTTATAACAGATTTGTCACCAAATTTCTTTTGATATTATTGAAAGAGACAGAATACTATGTTTAATTCTAAAAAAAGTAACTAAAATTTGGCACCAGATTTTTATTTTAAATAGATAAAAAAATAAACCAAAAGCTAGTGTTGAATGCTGAAAAGTTTTTTAATGTTTGAAAAAAAATTATCCTGCAAAACTTAGTGTCTGAATATGTCTGTATTTTCTTTAAAAGAAAAATATATTGCATTGGTTTTTTTTTAATTTAGAGATTTATAAATTTGCAATGGATAAGATGCTTCTTTAGAATGCTGTAAAATGTTTGGACATGTTAATGGTTTTCAATGTTTCCATCTGTTCTAGAACGCTGGCAGTGGAAGTGGAGTTGATCTTTCAGTACTAAATGAGGCTCGGAGCATGCTAACAGACCTTCTGACTGACCCATCCCTTCCTCCACAAGTGATTTCTTCCCTTCGAAGCATTAATAGTTTGATTGGTGCTTTCTCAGGCACATGCAGGCCAAAGGCTAGTCCGTTCACACCATTTCCTGGCTTCTTCCCTTGTCCTGAAATAGAGGATCCTAGAGATCGGAAGCTGCTCAAGGTCAAATGACTTTAATTTTCATTTGTGTCTATTGCAATTTAAAAAAAAATTGTCAAGGAAAATTAATCTGGAAAGGATGGTCCTGGATGGATACTTCTTTACTGAGCACCTGTGAACTATGCTTAAGGTCCAAAGAAAGCAGCTGTGAAAACACATTGAATGAAACGTAGATAGGTACCAAAATGCTCAAGTGGTGGATAAATAGACAGGTAAAAGCTCTGGTCTGTACTCTGAACACATGATTCCTTGAAGTAAGCACAGGATTAAAAAAACTAAAAGCAAATAGAAAATGAAGGTGTTATTTTCTCATGAAATAGCACGAAGAGTGCTGTTCTTGATTCTTCCAGATTCTTGAGCTAACAATAACTGTCAGTGTGGCTTTGTCATTGACTTCTTTTCCAAAGAAATTTACTCTTGTGAACATCAAACTAGCCATTAGACAGAAAAATATCTCTTCTTTCAGTGCAGTTCTGCACTCTTCCCACGTTGTGGGACCGGTGTGTAAATCTGCTGTTACTTCGCTGTTTTGTAAGATAAGTAAGTGGAAGGAAGAATGTAGTTACTATATAACACATTAAGGAACGTGGAGGAAAAACATTCAAATACAAAAACCCAGCTGCAGACAGCTTGAAGCTGTTTATTTTGGAAGGTGGTCTGGGATGTCCCTGCCCTATAGTTGCTTCCATTTTGAGGCAGTGGGCAGCTTGGCCCAGACTGATCACTTGTTAGCTTAGTATTTTAGAGTCAGGTAAACTGCCTCAAGCCAGATTCAGCCTGTGAAATATTTGTTGGGATCCACTGTCAAGACAAATGCTTTTGGGGAAAAGCTTGATGTCTACAGGTTACCCTGTAGAAGATCCTGCAGGACCATTGCAGTATGAAATTCCGTGGAATGTCACATGGATATCTGCAGGAATCAGTTGAGTTGTGTTCATAATAATTCAGCATGTGTTTTTCTTTGTGGATTTTTTAAAAAAACTGCTAAGGATTGGTATACCAGAATAAAAAATATGATTTATGTGAATATGTAACTTATGATTTTAAAAAAAATTATCTAGTCAGATTTTTTTGAGATCAAAATACTCATTGCTGCAGACTAGTTATACAGATTATGTGACATTGAAAGATTGGGGGTTTTTTTATGGCTATTCTCCTTTTCTTCTTCCTAAAAGTAGTAAGAAACTGAAACTGGGCTTCAGACCTTGGGCTAGAGTCAACTGGTTATCCAACACTAACTCTTCACTCAGAGTTTCTTGGTAGTCAACAGCTTGGAAAGTTTCTTTACCTAGTTGGGAAAAGTTCTGGAGATTTGTCCTATCCCCAGTGTTCCCTCATTCTTAGAGTAGACAGGAAGAAGAAAACTAAGTGTAGATGCTGGGCTTTCTTTCTACATTGTGCTAATGTGTGCACATTTTTTGGGGGTGAGGATCTTTCTCTTCCAGCATTGGGGATTTTCAGCTGTGCTCCCCATGCTGTAGGCAGGTTGGGTTGTCACGCAGGTTGGGTGGATGTGGTCTGCTGAGGGAAGTCCCTTCTGGCATGAGAGCACTACGACTGTGGTAGCACACACAGCACGCTCCTCCGGGTCTCTCTGGGGCTGCGTAGGGATGCTGTGTGTTCCTGGGGGCAGTACCTGCCCTTCCTCAGCCTGCCCAGTTCCACCTTTCTGGCTGTGACTGCGGTTTTGCAGCAAAGCAAACAGAGTCAAGGTACATCCCGTATAGAGGACTCAAAGCAGGCTGATTTTTTGGGGTAAGAGACTTTTGTGTGAACACTCATATTTTTTTAAATGTTATAGCTTTGTGTTTTAACTGTGTTCTTTGTCCACCTGATGAAGCTTAAAATCACAAAGTCGTCATTTCTGCCAGATGTTTGAAGTGGTAGTATCCAAGGGTCAGCTGTCCTTACACATGACCCTGCAGGCCCTACTCAGTACTGCAAATATTGCTTTGGATTTTTTATTGTTTTAAACATTTTTTTTCTGCCATCCTTTTTATTTTGCAAGGTCTGATCACACATGTCTGTATTATGCAGAATAATCTTCCTGTCCCTCTCCTTCTGCTGAGTGCCCAAAGCTAGGGATGAGTTATCAAGTGAATTGTGGACTGAACGTAGTCAGAGGTTTTTTAAAAAATTGTTTGTTTAAAATTTAACGTTTAAGCCATCTGTGCAATGGATGGAGATAGGCCAGAGCTGGCTTGGCAGTTTCAGTTCAGTGATCCTATCTTTTCTGTTAGCTAGGCACTACTATTTAAACAGGGATATACTTGGCTGGGGGTATTTCAGTAAGGCAGAGCTAGTAAGCCCTGAGTTATTTCCATACAGGACTGTTTGAGCACCGTTGCCCTGCTTTGCAGAGGACTTTGTGTTCCAGTACAGCAGTGATTCCCAGTGCTTTGGCTGCAGTGTGCCTAAACTAACAGAGCTTCCAGGCTGGGAGAGGTGGGGTGCCTGGGAGGCTTCCCGGGTGCTGTGGGGCTGGTATGGGAGCAGAGATTTCAGCTGTTGAAAGCTCTAGAGGGCAATTGTTCGGATCACGTGGTTTTCAGAGTACCAGCATCTTTACATATTTTAATTTGAGGAAATAAAAGAGATATGAAAAATAATTATTCCTAGTAAGCAAAGTAATTTAATTGCATCTGTTTGTTTTCTTGAGCAATGAGAGTGAACATGATATACCACACTTACTGTTGCACTGTGAAGCAATGAACAATAAAGAGTCTTCACAAGCAATAAATTAAATTTTAACATCTGTTTTTAGTGTATAGATTTTAACCACGGTTAAATCACTCAACAGGGATTAAATAGCAGGAATAGCCTGCCAACACCACAGCTGAGGCGAACCTCGGGAGTTTCTGGCATTCCACCTATAGAACCAACATCTTGTAGATGGGAGCGGAGTAACAGCAAGAGATCTCATCAGGAGTACAACGCATCGAGGTAAGCACTTAACTGCATTTTAAGGGCAGTAATAGATGTAGCATTTCTAAAATGCTCATGTCTGTAACATTGGAACTTGGCAGAGGAAGTGTTTAATGTAAAATCCTGTGAATTAAGTCTCCAAATTGTGCCAGCATAAACTGGAAAATGTTTGAAGTTAATGATATACTATACTTTGTAACTCTGATCTCAGGTAGAAATCAGGTCATTCTGAGGTTGAATAGCATGCTCTGTCATAATAATTAGGCCTGCATATCAGTTTTAGTAGGAAATGAAAAAAAAAGTCTTAACATAAGTGATTGCAAAACTTACCAGTTTAACCTCTAAACCTTTACTGACTTCTACTTCTGCTTTTTACTTAAAATATGTATCACTCTCCAACTTCCACATGTCCGTGAATTTGTTTTCTAATTAAAAGGATGACAACTTTCTTGCATTTGGTAGTTGCTTCTGTGTGTGTTGCACCACTTACTATTCTTACAGTCATCAAGCAAGCAGTAGATTAAGAAAGCAATCTCTTCTCTACTTATTTGTTAATATGGTATAAATAAAACTTGTTTTTTTCCAGAATTAAGATTCTGTCTTGAATTAGGATTAAAATAAATGTACATTTTTTTCCTTTTTCTTTAATATTGTGTGAGTGAAATGTGAAACTTCACACACTTAGTTTTATTTAAATGTGTAAATATGTTGGCTTTGCTCAATATCTTGTAAGAAATGTACAACAGGTGTTTGAAACTGTGTTGCAGCTTAAATCCATAAAAATGTGTGTGGTTTTGCCTTTTTTGTACTTGGTATCTCTTAAGACTTTAATGGTTTTACATAGTTCATAAGAAAAGTTCCAGAGATGCTTTTTTTTTATTAAGAAATATGAGTTATACTGATGACTGATAATTACCAGCAGTGGTAGAAAGTTTATATACACACATCCAAGAATTTTTAAATCAATATTGAATTTAGTCTTAAAGTGAACCATTTAAATAATTTGGCCCTTGTCAGTGGGTTTTCCCCCTTGAATAAAACATGCTCTTCAAGTTTTTACATAGTAAAACTTAATTATAGGTTGTATATAAAATATAATAGAAGGTGCTGGTAGTAGCAGTTGCAGTAGTTTAAAGATTGTATTTTCATGCTGATTTGGTTACCAGTGTTTAAAAGAATCTCCCCAGTTATATTCGCTGGAAACAACCAGAGATCAGAGAAATCACTTTAAACTTACAAACCATGGGATTTCAGTTTGAGGCACAGCACTGCTGCTGCAGACACAGTGTATGTTCACAGAGGGTTTCCTTACAGCTCCTACTGACCAAAGAACCTGCTCAAGCTCACCCAATTAAAAGCAGCAGTGCAGAAAATACCCTCGCTCACGCTCCACCACTTTTAAAAAATCTCTTGACCCTGAGGACTAGCACTTCTGGTCAGTCACGTTTCCCTGCTCCTCTCTGCCCCCATAAAACCTTAGAATATGTGTTTGCTTTTCTGTGGTTTGTGTCCTGCCCTCCACAGTCCTTGCCAGCACTTGCACTGTCCTTGTCTCCTTGCACCTTCCAGTGATCCTTCTTAGCAGGTTCCCTTTAGCTCCTAACACCCAAGCATCTCCAAACACCCAGGAATGCTGACCTCAGAGATAAGGTTAGGTGGCATAGCTGTTCCTGCTGCCAAAAGAGACAGTCCTGCATTCCTAGGACACGGTGCCTTTGGCTCTAGCTCTTGAGTTAGCCCCTTGTATTGTCAGGAAAATAACAGCAATAAAAAGACAGTTTTTTCTGCCTTGGGGAGCTGTTTCAGCCCAGTGAATGTTGGAATAGAAGCAAGGAGAAGCAGGCTAATAGTAAAAAGGGAGAGTGAAATGGCAAACTGTTCACTTGGAGGAAAGTTTATCAAAAATCAGTATTTTTTTTTTACATACAATAACTGCCTTCAGTTGAATCTTAGCTGAGTTGACAAAGGTATTATACAATGGTACAATAAATTAATATTGTTACAAAATTTGATTTAGCATTCCAAATTTTTTTTTTCTATCCATCTGGACAGCATGCAAAAGCAGCTCTTGGGAACTGTGTTTTTATTTGCATGCAAATTTTTCATTTGGTTTCTCACTCAAGCCCTAGCTTCAGAGGAACTGACCTGGCTTAATACATAGCCTTTCTACAGTACCTACTGTTGCATTTTTGTGTGCTCTAAAGGAATACATGTAAGCTAAACAGTGTACAAGGAGTGAAAAGTTCAATTTATCCCAGTTGTCAACCCAAACATTTTTCAGAGTTGACTAAAATGTCAGTAGAACACTTCAGATGTATAAATCTGTGTTTATACTTCAACTAGTTTTAAATATCTATGTATTTAAGCCAATGATGGGAAATCAACTATTATTTCTGTATGTGACTTTTTTTAAAAATCTGATTGAACAAGATTAAATCTGTTTTGGTAAGTAGTGTTGTCCCATACTGAAATGAAATAATTAGTTTTACATAGACGATTTTCACTTTGAGCTACATGTGTGCAGTTATTTTTAAATGCATGTCATATTTTTGTTTACCAGAGAAAATACAGAATTGGAATTTTGGAGTGCAGTTTAATGCCTAGAACAGCAGATGGCATAGTTCAACAATTGAGTTTAACAAATGAGCTACTGAAGTAGAATATGACTACATCAAAAACAGCTTGAGTTTTAAAATTATCATAAATAAAATAAGTATGAAAAAAAATCTTTGAAAAGCAAGCTGTGGCTGTGTAAGATTGTTGTGATATTTCAATAAAAATGAAAGACAAGACAAGAAAGAAAAAAATATTCTTACTGTTTTATTTTCAGCCAAGGATCTCATTCAAATGGGTCTTTTGGTGCAAACTTGCTGACAATCCCAAAACAAAGGTCATCTTCTATGACATTGACCCATATAGGCCCCAGACGAGCAGGTAAGATCATCCAACCTTTATAGCTTAGTAGCAGGATGTCAATGCAGTAGCTAGTGCTTCATGTATTACAGCTGAGTTTTTAAATGTAAATGTAGCACTAAAATGACATTGACATGTTGCGTGTATTAAAAAATGGTTTATTTTTAATCTACTTCTAAGAATATTCGAAATTACAGTTAACATCAACTTTGTAGAAATCTCAGCTAGTCACCGAATGCTGCATAGCTGCAAAATCTGTTGATGTTCAGTATGGTTAGTACCTGTTGAAAATTGCACTGTTCACATACATTAAGAAGGGACTTTTTTTTTTTTTTTGTAATTATGCTGTTTGTAACAGTGTCACTTCAATACCCCTAAATACCTGCTAGACATCTGACATGAATACTTAAATTTTGGAAGGATTTGGAGTACATTTTATTCTGTCAGATTAATAAGCTAGGAGATGCTGTAACAGCAGGGCTGAAATAATGTGTTTATCAGTGTTTCAGAGATTAAAACTGGTCTGTTTGTCCATATTAAGTGAAAACTTGAGAATGTCTTTTGACATTCCTCACTTTCCATTTTAGCATGATATAAAAATAACAACCTACCGAATAATTTTGTTTTACAGCAGTTTAAAAATGCTGGTTGGATTGAGAGAGATAAATGCACTTTAAAATTAATTAATTAAAAAAAAAACAAAAAACCAAACCCCAAACAAACAACAACAAAAAAAAAAAACCAAAACAAAACAACAACAAACAAAGGAAACTAAACCAAATCCAAAACCTCACTAGCTTACTCTGTATCGCTTTGATGGTTTAGTTCTTTCCCTTTCACTCTGCTAAACACCAAGAAAGATGCAAACCTAGGCCAGATCCACCTTAAACACGTTGTTGGACATGCTCAGTGGTTCTGTCCTCATAAAAAGCTTTCCTACTTTGAATCCTGGGGAAAGCATTGAGTGCAGCAATGTGCATTAAAACCTGCTGAATGTGTACATGTAAAAAGGATTAAATTAAGATGCCCACATTAGAGTACTAACCCAGTTTTGTTCTGGAAGGGAGTTTACAAATTGCTTCTCAACTTCCCAAATCTTTCTTTGTGTCAGTGAAGTGACATTTGCTTTCTGAAACGTCTGTCTCTGCACCTAGCAACGTGGCCTTTGAAAAACCTTATCTTTCACTGTAGCAAAATGTGATTACATGCTACTCTCAGGGCATGGGGGTCAAGTCAATGTAGCCTATGACACTGTTAGAAGTATATCATCTGTGTATTCCTTAATTAAGAGCAATGCTATATATTCTCTTAGTAATTTGCTATCAGGTTTTTGCTTCATAGTTTGTAGCAGAATAAGTGATTCAGCTCTGGGAAATCCACCTCATTATTTTGCTCATGGGCCCTTTGTTCTTTTGACAAAAGTATATTTACAATGGCTATGATAACCTGCCTTTTGTGCATTTTCACAAGGGAAAGAAATTATCTTTTGGCTTAATACAAAATTTTGTTATAAATTCAAGTTGGATACAGAGTAGCCAAAGTCCAGATTTACCAGCTTGCTTTCCTGGATTTCACAGACAAAAGCCTGAAGTAAATCCTAGCTTACTCTTTGAGAAGGAATGAGGAGTTTCATGGGCCTAAGGAAGATGGAGTTGGTTGGTTGGTTGGTTGGTTTTTATCTCTAATTACCCATGAACAAACTTCAGACTTCCCACCTTCTCCTCCCTCCCCAGTGGCCTATTAGGCAGATTTAGATAGTCATGCCAATAATAAAAAGGGTACATCAGTGTCAAGAAAGGCCACTATCTCCCCACTTTACTCCCTTAGTTCAAAAAATACAATTACAGCATTCTGGTTTTTTACTGTGTTTTTGAAAACGTCTCAAGCATATTTTTTCTTTATTACAAAATAATGAGGTAAAATATTTTTGTCTAGGTCAATTATCAATGCTGACTTGATTTTGATTTTTTTCTTTCTGTAAAATTTAAAGAAGCAATCTTGAATCAGAAAGGAGCATGGAGAGTTTCAGCTACTAATTAAATTTTGCTGGAGCTAAAACCAAAGCCAAAGCCTTGAAAGCCAGATGTTGTGTCAGGATACATAGTTTGCCCTTTCAGATGTGTAACCTAAACTGCTGCATCATTGTACATCTCAGAACTTGGAATAGTAACAGCCTGAGCTATACATCGTGCTTTGAAAACTTGCACATTGTTTACAATTTATAAAGGTTCTTGTTTAATTTCAGTCTTTCCAAACAGCAATGTTTTTATTGTAATCTGAACCCCATGTGATGTTTGTTTTGGAAGGTGCTTCTCCTGCCCTGAGTCCTGTGGGTTCACCTAGCCATGGATCTGTCTCCAGTGGGGCTTTCAGCAGCTGGTCACCTGTAGAATTTCCTGATACTGCTGATTTTCTGACAAAACCAAGCATTAATATACATAAGCCTTCAGGATACACATTTAGTTCTCCAGATATTCAGCAGCAAGTTAAAACACCTGTAGGCTATGTGTGTAGCAGGTACTGTAAACTCTGTTACATTTTTAATAACTTCATATATGTTGAAAGGAATACAAGTAAATAGAAAGATATAACAAGACGTATACATCAGTTAGTACTGAAAAAGTCTCATAATAACCTGTAACTATATTATCTAAAGAATGCTGTGTATATGCTATAGATTTGAAATGGCTCATCCTAGAAAGCAGCAGTTATTGCAGAGTAACAATATTTTACAGTTCTTTAGAAAAGGAGGATTTCCTACCTGGGAATTGAATTCTGTATTGCTGAATACTTTCTAAGTAATGAGCTGTGCTTTGTGAATTTGTGGAGATGAGTCCAGGGGAGGTGGTGACTGAGTATTTTCTAAGTACAGGCTAAATATGTTTGCCAAATTTAGGAGGAAATACTAAGGTCATTTGGTGGAAGAACCTTCAAAAACATGCCATTTTAAAAAAAGTACTTTGCAGCTATTTTTCAGTAAAACAGAGCAGTAGCAAAAGAAGAAAATTGTTGAATGTTGTAAATATTTTTTATGTATTCTGTAAGCTGTGGACGTCAGATACTCAAGCCTGTTCCAACACCAGAACCAGAATTTGCAGAATATAAAGACAGAAAACCAGGTGGGATTTCAAAATAGACAAATATTTGATACTAACTTGCTGCTTTTTTTTTTCCAAGCTAATTAAATAAAAATGTTTATATTGCTACATTACATTTTTCCTGTACTTTAAGTAACTCATATACATGTATTTCATTTTGGTTTGTGACTCAGGATAATCGAGAATATCCAAAATATTGCCTGCTTCAGACTAAGAATTTTATAATAGACTACCACTCATGGCTTTACAGTTCTGTACTCCATATAACAAAAAAGTTCTTTGCCATATCAACTAAACTAATCACTGAACCAATTTTTGCATGTAAAAGGTTATGCTTCTGGCTTTTCTCAATCTTCAGATAAAAGTTGTCTAATAAATATTGTCCTTTACAACCTTCTTTTTTTTTTTTCTGGTTAAATTCTTTAAAATTGTTTAGAAACAAGCTATTCTGTTTTGGTGAAGAATCTGTGGGATCAGTTGAAGAATCATTAAACAGTAGTAATTACAAATAAATTGATATAGTGTTTATGTATGTATTTTCTTTAAGGTGATAGTGGAAGTGCCAGTATTTCAGCAGACTCTTCCCACCATGCAGAGAAGACGAAGGACGAAAGGGAGGAAATGGTTGATCAAACACAGAATAGTCAGCTTGTAAGCATGTAATTGCAAAAAAGCTTGAAATAACTTTTATCCATACAGCATCTCGTTATCATTTCTAACATGCTGCAAAGAGGTCATTGCATTCCTAGGAACTGTAGTTTCTGAAATGTAGCGTTGTTGGAATTCTAATTTTCATTTAACAATTTTGTAGTTCTGGCTTGTGTAAATTTCACTAGCAAATGACAAGAAAGACTGTGATTAACTTTTTGTTGATCAAAATTAATTTGTGTAGGCTAAATGTTGATAGTGTGATTAAACACTGACTAGTACTTCTAGTTTTTCATAAGTTATGAAAGATGTGGCAGTGGCAGTGAGACAAATGGATGTTCATACAGTGCAGGGAGACAAACGTTTTAAGGTTTACTAACATTTTGGGTTTATGCATCAAGTTTTTTGAAGCTTGTTCAGTTAATGAACTGTTAAAGCTCAGAAGATGCTGTATTAGCTTACACATGAGCTTTGTTAGCTCATTTTCGTTAAAAAGAAATAAGGAAGCCCTGGAGTCTGCTGCCCCAAAATATGAAAAGCCATGCCATTAACTGTGCTGTTTCCACTACTGAGTTAGTGTGAGTTAGGATTTTCTCATAGCTGTAGTTACAGGATCATTCAACAAGTTCAGTAATGATTTATTGTTTTTGTGGCTTTTTTTTTGCCAATGCAACTGGCAAATTAGTTTTCATTTTAGAGATAATAAAGTATCTTGCTCACACAGGTGGAGCAGAGTCCTACGTTAGAAACAACATTACTAGACCATGATTCGTTAATGGAGAAGATGAACAACTGGAATTTCCAAATTTTTGACCTTGTACAAGAAATGGGAGACCAGTCTGGAAGGATCCTTAGCCAGGTTTGTTGTCTTTTACTATATGAGTGTGTGTAAAGCTGCCCTGCTTATACATTTTATTTAAACCTTGAAGAAGTTTCGCAGTCAACATATGTATATAAATGCTAATTTGAAAAGTAGAAGTATCATTTCCCATGTACTCCAATTCCTTGTAAACCATAAAAAGTTATTTTTCTATAGACAACTTGCTCCAAATTTTCTGAATTTATTCTCTATGTAAATCTAGGTTAAATCCACACTTATTAGGTTTTATAGTAGTATGCCATTTCCTAAAAAAAGTTCTCCTGCTTTCAGAATTACTACCTTCTCTGTCAACTATTTCTTTTTTCTTTATGTTAGTAAAATATTTCTGACAGAGCTATACCTGTGGGAGAAGAGAAGTGATCTTTTAGGCAGTCTTTTGCCTCTTAATACTACAAACAATGGGATTTTTTTCCCCATGTTGCATTCTGCATGTAGTATCCCTTTTAACTCTTTCTGACCTATTGCTAACTCTTCTGTGGAGTTTCATGTTGTGCTGCAGGCCATCTACTGGGGAGTGCAAAAGTATCACCCTGTTTGCTCTTCCCCAGCCTCTCCCATTCTTCAGTGTCATCTGGAAGCTTCTTTGTCTGTCTTTATACTGGATTTAGCAATCATGGAGCTCTAGCATGAGCTGGATTTCTTTCTGCTCTGATCACCAAATCTCTTTATTGCCATTATTTTAGCTTTCTGCCATGGAGTAAAATGCATGCTACTCTTGTTCAAGGAGACAGGTTAGAAACACTCAGGTGCAGCTGAAGCATAGGCCTGCACCTGTACTGAAGGCAGGAAGCAGTAGGAGAGGTAATGTCATTTTTGTCATTAGACACTGTCTTTTCTTTCATAATGCACAATATTCTGTTTGGGTGCTGTTTTAAATCTTCAATTAGTCTTGTATGGTCAGATGTTTTCAGGTCTTCTGTCACCTCGGTGACAACGGTTAATGAGCAGAGTAGAATGGCACAATCCACTTCTTAGCAGCATTTGTACTGTGGTGTACTAGTACTTTGTGAGACACAGTAACTTGAATTCCATCTGTGGGCAGTCCAGGGCATAGCTCAAACCTCTGAGTTCCTAAGTGTTCAGGTTTCCACTTAACTCTACCAGAATTTCTGTATCAGGCCTTCCTGTTTCTGTGTGTGTACCACTTGACCTCCTCCTCCCCTGGTTCTGTGTGTGTGTACCACTTGACCTCCTCCTCCTCCTCCTCCTGCCCCAGGGCTTCTGTCTGTTGTGCTGCAAGCATTTGATCACATATCCCACCCAACAGCCAGCTGAAAGCTGTATTTTACCATCATCAGTTGTAAGGTTCCTAGGTGGGGTGTGTGTAAGGGGAATAGCTGGGACAGGGGGCAGGAGGGATGTCCCCTCAGTTTGCTCTCGTGTTCCTTTGAGGACCTCCCACACTTCAGAACATTTTCTTCCTCTTGAGTGGCTGGGGAAGAAGTGACAAAAATGAGGAGCAGCGACATGTTTTGCAAAGCTTTCGGAATATTTGCAGTCTTAGAGGGGATTAGGTCTTTTAAGTCACTGGGTTCTACTTGTGATATGTGTAATACATCTGGACAGTACACACATGTGTATGTGCTCCGAGTATATTTTAAAATATTTTTTTGCTTACCAGCTAGCTTTGTTAAAAATACCCAAGATAAGTCAGAATGAGTAAAAGAAATAGGTTTTCCTTGCCAAAGTCTCAAAAATAAATGCGATGTTGTTTGGGTTTTTGTGGGTTTTTTGGTGTTTTTGTTTTTGTTTTTTTTTTAATAATTAAGAATCTAGATTTCTTCTTTCTAGGTCACTAATGGAATGAAGAATGAGTTCTTCAGCATTATTAAAATTTTTGAGAATATTATTGAAAATAATCAGTTGTGACTACACTTTATCAGTAAAGAAATAAAAGCTTTTATCATTCAGTATTTGAGAGGATGATAAAAATTTTGTGCTAAAAAATCATTAAACATATCTCCATGACAATAACTTTCAGACAATCTTTAATGGAATGTCAGGAATTTCCATCTCTACAGCAAGCAAAATTTTGAAAATAGGAATATTTTTAAAGTTGAAAAAAGCAGAATATGCTTAGGTATATTTTTCAGACTAAAATTAATTTTAATATGTATTTAGGTAACTTATACCTTGTTTCAAGACACTGGTTTGTTTGAAATTTTCAAAATCCCAACGCAAGAATTCATGAATTACTTCCGTGCACTGGAGAATGGCTACCGAGATATTCCCTGTAAGTACTACCCAGTTACTTATGTTTGGCTTTACTCTGTATGTGTGTGTGTCCATGCAAACACAGACAATGTCTGAACTCAGTATATTTTTAATGAATACATTTGTCAGAATTTAGAACTGATTCAGTGAAATGCAGTAAAAAATTGCTGACTGAGCTCATTAACAGGTAGGTGGAATATGATACTGAAGCATTTGAATGAGTAGTTGAACCAAATCTACTGAAGTCAGTTGGAGAGTGTTTGCTGGTTTAACAAAAACTTCATTTAGGCCTGTAATAGAATAATAAGAAAATATAGAATGTTGACAGTAATTATTTATTTTGCTGCTTAGGCAGCTAAATTTATTGGAAAAAACCCACCTGCCAGCACCATGCCACCCCCAGCACACACACCCCCACACCCCAGTCTCACAAATGTTTGCACCAGCCAGGCTGGAAGCAATGCTGGTGGCTCACCATCACTGATTTAAAAGGCTGCTTTATTCTTTCCTGACTCTCAGGTAAGAAGAATTATGCAGAGAAGGATGAAGGTTGTTTCTTAAATATATTCACTGATGTAGCCTCTACGAATCCTTTAAATTCAATTTCTCCTTTATTTTTCATCAAAATCTCCCTTGTAGTAAATTTGGTACTTTTTTCTCTTTGTTCCTTTTGATTATATATCCAACAATATTTTTTGTTACATCTTGATAATTTCCAGATCACAATCGTGTCCATGCCACAGACGTTCTGCATGCAGTGTGGTACCTGACAACACGGCCCATCCCTGGATTTCAGCAGAGTCAGAATGAGCGCAGGATGGAAAGTGAGATGGGTGGGTATTCATTCACAGGGGTTAGTTTTTGCTGTAAGAATGTTTTAATGACCTTACAATAGGTAAAACAAATTATTTTGGAAGAAAATGTCTAATTAGTCTTATCACTCACATGATTTCTTTTTATTTTAATATAAGGCAGTAGAAATATCACAATGTTAGTACACACCATCAGAACTATCATGCAGTAGATTTCTAGAAAATTTATGAGATGAATAGTGGTTAGTTTCTTAGCCTTGAATACTGGTTCCCTTAATAAATTTTCTATGCTAATATTTTTTAATTTTTTTTGTCAAATTAAATAGATCAAAGAAAAAATACCAAAGTCAAATTGTTTAATTTAATTGAAGTTCTCCTTAATGGCTTTAGTACAACAGTGAGTATTTCAGAATTCTGTATTAGATATCACATGCAGATACTCAGGCATTGAAGTGACTGCCCTAACAGCACCTGCATAAGAGCATCCCTGAGAGAGAAATAAAGACTTCAGGTTTTGTATGATATAAATTGTAACCAAGCTTGCTGTTGTGTTCTTTATGACTTCATGGAATTAACTTTTAAATTTAGATTTGTATTTTTTACTAGAATATATACTGTAAATAAAGCATAATTATTCTAAATATACACTTCTATACAAAAAAATGTATGTATCTAAGTAAAATGGGGAAAGCAAGAACTCTAAGAACTCTAGTTTTTATGTACAGTAAAAAAAGGCGAGATGCAGGTTGTGGCTTTTAAAAAGTGGTAATTTTAAGAAGTAATTTGTGAACTGTACAGAACATCTTACAGTATATTTTATTTCTTCCTTGATAATCAGCCCCTTTGCTGTCACCTTTCTCTTTTTTCCAAATTTGTCCATACCCACTGATTGCACCCTACTGCATTTTCTTTCTGTAAGTGTTAAAAGGGTCGTCCCTGGAGACTTGACATCTGGGACACTTCTCACAGGCTCCACAATGTCTCCTAGGACTTTGCCCTCCTTGTGTAATGGCATGAAACAGCTGAAGCTTTTATTGTATTTGTAAGGCTGGACCTACCCTTTTCCTCAACCAGTGTGGCCATGATGAATTTCTGACTTACTTGCTTCTCAACTTTTCTTCAAAAGTGCTGGTTTATCTATAAATAGTAGTATGACTTTTTTTTTAAAGTGTCTGTCTTTGCTAAGCATTCAGCTCCACAGTTGCAAGGTTAATTGTATGAAGATTACGTTCGCAGCAGTATGTGGCTGAGCAATTCAAAATGTATTAAAAATATGAATAAGTAATGTTCTAAAAATATGATTTTTGTATTTTCCATTTTCTTAGAAGAAGCAAGGGATATTGCCCCTGTTCCAGTCAGCTATATTACTTCAAAAAGTTGTTCTATTGCTGATGACAGTTATGGTTGTCTGGCATCAAACATACCTGCTTTGGAACTGATGGCTTTGTATGTAGCAGCTGCCATGCATGATTATGATCATCCTGGTCGTACAAATGCTTTTCTAGTGGCTACAAATGCACCTCAGGTAAGAAATTCTTAAACCAGAAAACTATTTGTCTGCATCTGCAATCAGAATAATAAAGATTTTTCTTTTCTATACACCTACTGTAACCTCTTTGGGATCATTTAATGTCTGCAATTACTGTAAAAACACACGTTCTTCTAATAGTCCAATTAACTGCATTTCTGTATTTCAAATAGTCTTCATGGTAAATAGCCACTATCTTGAAGGGAGGCTGAGTTCAGTAAGAACAAATCAGCAAGGCATCCTTGTTTTTATTTCCTGTATTCAACTTTGTTGTTAGAAAAGAGTAGGAAGAAAAGAGGTATTAGATTTGGGGACTAAAAGGTAAAAAAAAGAGGTAAAAACTAAAGGAGAGTAAAACTAAACAAAATACTAGATAGGGGGAAAAAAAATTGGGGCACGGAAGAATATTTATGAGGGCTATTTGGATCTCTCTTAAAAAGTTAGAGACAAGAAACTTAAATAATAACAATATCATCTTCAACAACAGTAACAATAGTAAATGAGAAATCGATAGAACTTTTTAGAAGACAGACTTTAAAAATGAAGTTTCCAGTCAATTTTCTATAATTCCTTATTGTGGAAGAGTTTAGGATGTAGGCAGTTATGCAGTGCTGCTGAAAACAGTATGCAAGAAAGAATAAAAACAACCAGCCCAGACATTCCAATTTTCAAAAATATACATGTTCATTTGTGAATGATCTCCTCCTTTCCTCAAAACATGAAGATTATTTTTGCAGTTTTCCAAATCATTTTTTCAGATCCTATTTATTCTATATTCAATGAATTATTTTCTAGGATGTTTTTTATAAACAGAGGAATTGTGAGTAAAAACTGCTGTTGTTTTAATATTTTAGTTAACTCATTTGCAGTTAAAATTGGATTCATCTGCATTACACACATTGAAAGCCAGCGATACTCCACACCCTTTGACATTAGCCACACTTCCTACATGCTTTGGAGTTCTTTTTCTTTTAAACAATACTGGAATTAAGAGAAATTCTGATTTGATTTTTTGTTGGTTGTTGGTTGTTTTTTTTCAGCGTGTGTTCCACACATACTGCTGAGAGTGCACAATCTACATTTTAAGTGTCCCTACAGGGTGAATGTAGATGTCACTAAGACATCATTAAGAACTTTTCAGGAAAGTAAAAAACTTTGCTAATTGTTTGTTTGTTTTTCTAATCTGCTGGTTTTGTTTGACTTTAACCCTCAAAAATACAAGGTAAAACATAATTTCCAATAGAAACTTCAAAATATGTAATTATAATTTTAAACCTTTATTCTGTCATTTATGATTATTTTTCTTGTTTTGTAGGCTGTTCTCTACAATGACAGATCAGTCTTAGAAAATCACCATGCTGCTTCTGCCTGGAATCTTTTCTTGTCACGACCAGAATACAACTTCTTAGCAAATCTTGATCACGTAGAATTCAAGCGTTTTCGTTTCTTAGTGATTGAAGCAATCCTTGCCACAGATCTCAAGAAGCATTTTGATTTCCTTGCAGAATTTAATGCCAAGGTTTGTTACATTTCAGTGCTTGCACTGAGCTGGGCAGTAGTTGTTAGGACTAATAACTTGCATTTAAAGTTTTATGCTATTTAAATTTAAGTTAAAAAAAGGCAAATAGAGTATTTCCTTTTTACAAACCAATTGTAGATTGTTTTGTACATTACCTAATAAGCAGATGTGACATAGGGACCCAAGGAGACCTTGATCATATGTCACATTTCCATCTTCTAAGAGATAGTACAGGATGTTTTTTTACTTATCTAAGACAAAAAATGATATAGAAAATTTAATGCAAATGTCTGTTTTGCAAAGCCTGCAAAAAAACCCCAAACCACTGATGAATATTTTAAAGTTAAATATTTAAAAAGGTATGTGCTCAATCCAGGTCAATGATATCGACAGCCATGGGATAGAATGGAGCAATGAGAACGATCGCCTGCTGGCCTGCCAAATCTGCATCAAACTGGCAGATATTAACGGCCCAGCAAAAGTTAGAGAGCTGCACCTGAAGTGGACCGAAGGCATTGTCAATGAATTTTATGAACAGGTGGGTGTGGAAAGTATAATTTACCCTTTTTTTAATGACAGGCTGATGATCGATTCTTTGCATTACCAAATGTACAAAGATATTAAACATTTCATGTACTAAATCTTCAGGTAAGATATTTCCATTTTCTCTTTCTGAATACTGCAAATGTATTTTTCTAGGTAGCATACTAACATAATCTTTTACTTACTGTCAATTCTGTTAGAAGCTTGAAAACAAGCTCCCTGCCAATATTGTCCATTTTTCAGATAGCAGTTTATTTTCTTTTGTGGTGTTGGTTTTTTAATTTGTTTTGGTTTGGGTTTTTTGTTTGATTGGGGTTTTTTTTGTAAGTTGGTTTTGTTTGTTTGTTTTAATCGTGGAATGATGCTAATAAATCATAAGAATTTCTTCCACTTTGGGAAGTTAAATTCACTATTATGTTTCCAGGTTAAAGAAACATACCTTGGAACCCACAAGACTGGAAGTGTGTATTCAGCTAAGTCTTAGTGCAAAGACAGAAGATACTTCAAAATTTTCAAAGTTAAATATTAAAAATACACACAAGTAACTGACAATATTAAAATGTAAATAAGATTTTTACAGTGGAGCCTTGATAAATAATCCTATCAAGATTGTCTAGAAAAAAGAATGAAAATTTGTTGCCTATTTTTAAATTTACAATGTTTGTACATCCCCCCCCCCGAAATATGTTCTGAAATATATTTTACATTTCTACTCTGTTATTCTGTAGTCAACTTTCTGAGGAGTTAAATATTCATGAGGCAACAACAACCAAGGACTGAAAATTTTTTTTGAAAATAGGAAGATAAAAGCAAACAACAAAATCTCTTGGGAGATGTAAAGAATAGCAATAATAATCTGAAGTTCTTACAAGTACTGTCTGACCTTAGTATTCTAAGTTGCTTCCTTAGGGAAAACTTTTTCATAAAACTATTAGGTCCACAGAAGTTCTGAGATAAGTGATTATAACTACAAGGACTGAAATTTTTTTTTGAAAATAGGAAGATAAAAGCAAACAACAAAATCTCTTGGGAGATGTAAAGAATAGCAATAATAATCTGAAGTTCTTACAAGTACTGTCTGACCTTAGTATTCTAAGTTGCTTCCTTAGGGAAAACTTTTTCATAAAACTATTAGGTCCACAGAAGTTCTGAGATAAGTGATTATAACTCAGAGCTGTGTACCAGCAGCCTTCAATTTTTTCTGCTCCAATTTATAAAATGGGAAAAAAACCCAAATGGAACCATTTTATTCTGGATGTTGGAGTTCATTTCATTCTTCTATGACTTTTGGGGGAAGCCATTTACCAGAATGCCTTGCTCTAGCTGATTACTTTCCCACTTTCTCTGTTCATCAGCTCAGCAGTTGAAATAAAATCTCTGCTTACCAAACAGCAGCTCCAGTGGAATTAGGTCTCCATCCATGCAGAAGAGTAGCTCTCAGCACAGCTGAGGGGAGGGTTATGGGCTGTGCAAGTCTGAGCCATCATGTGTCTTCATCTTAAGCTGGCCTAAATACATTTTCATTCACTGAGTCTCTAACACTATTGCCTCTAGTAAATGTACAATCTGTGTGATGTTTACATGATTCCTTTAAAGTAATCTTTAAAATAGAAGTTAATTTTGTGAGGAGTTCTGATAGAATTTTTCATTTCTTTTTCAGGGTGATGAAGAGGCAAGTCTTGGATTACCTATAAGCCCCTTCATGGATCGTTCTTCTCCACAGCTTGCAAAACTGCAGGAATCTTTCATCACTCACATAGTTGGCCCCCTCTGTAACTCATATAATGCAGCCGGGTTGCTTCCAGGGCAGTGGGTTGATGAAGAGGAGGGGGATGCAGAAAGTACTGAAGATGATGATGGAGCACTGTTGGAGAGTGACGATGAAGAAATAGATGATCTTACTTTAAGTAAGTTTCTGCATTTCTGTTAGCACATATGGTTGTCGTTTAATAGATTCAGACACAGCAATGATGGTTGAAGTTGTATAGTACAAATATTGCAGATTTTATGATTATGCTGCTTAATAAATCTTACTCTTTTAATAACATTTTTGTTGATACCAGGAGGCTTACATTTGAAACAGAAGCTCATTGTTATCCTTTGCAATGTTAATATTTAAATATTCTAAATAAGCATCCATGAGTTTTGCTCAAATTTATATCTCTTACATGCCATTGGTTTTGTATGTGTAAAATACAATTACTTTGAATCTCAAACAATGAACTATGCTTGTAATTTTACAGAAGCTCAAAGAAAAAAAGGTAGACGAATATTTTGCCAGCTAATACACCACCTCAGTGAAAATCACAAAATATGGAAGAAAGTGATTGAAGAGGAAGAAAAAAATAACTCTGAAGGAGCTAAACTGCTGACTGAGATCTCATCTTTACCTCAAGCAGATGAAATTCAGGTTATTGAGGAAGCTGATGAAGAAGATGAGCGACAACTAGGAGAAGACAAGACATGCTAAGAAAACTTCAGTGGTGTCCAGTATAATGATAGCCTATTTTTTTTTCACTGTGCTGACTTTAGCCTGACACAGCTCTCATAAAATTGAAAGGCCTTAATACTGTGAGAGGATTCTTTCTACTCTAGTGGAATCCCACTCTTATGCACTTTTGCCACACAGAATATGAAACTTTATTCAGAGATTGAGTATTGTATACCCTGATGCAAAGTTCTTTATGCCTTAGTTGATATAAAATATCCTGATATAATGCTGCCTTGCTGAATATGGAACTCTTCCTTGAGGTACCTGCAATTTTTAAAAACATTGTGACTTCAATTACCAAAGTGGCAAGAACTTTTTGCTAACAAGGCAATGTGGGATGGATTCTAATATCATTTTGAGTTATTTCATGTTGTTTTGGAACATGAATGAGAAAAGGTCTGTGCCTATATGAAAACTATGTTACTGTTGCAGTGCAAGCCTGTTGTGGGGTGTCTACTTAGTGCAGTAGTGTGCTTAATGTAGTCATCTCAGAGCAACTATTCAAGGACTGTGACATAAATGCTGAATTCTGATATTTGTGGTTGAAAAAGGAAAAAAATCCAGGTGCATCTATTTCTGATGCTTTTTATTATTGTGCATAATCTGATGTTTTATTTTTGCAGAAAATATTCAGGTTTGCAGTGGGTGTTCATGATAATTCATGGAATACAAGGCCATCATCATCTGTTGCCTTGCTGTTTTGTGGTAGAACATTAAAAACCTGTTCAGCTACTTAAATTATTAAGGAATTGTATTCTTTTAGTCATAATGCTATATTTCCTGCCCTAACTCAGGTTCCTGTTTGAAAAGTCAACCACGTGATAGGTTTTTATCTCGCACCAATTTACGGTATTAAACTTTAAGGAAATAAGATCGTATTCCATTTTTTCTGTGTATATAAAACTTTAGGAGAATTAAAGATTGTTTTTTTAGAAGACATAAACTGCTGTTTCAAAATGGCTAGTGCATTTTAATGTGCCTCACATCTTTTCTCCCATCACAGACATAGCCTTCAGGTTTGAAGTACATCCTGAAATATACATATGGAGAGCAGAATGTCAAAACTTCATGAAAAGCCCAATAGTCAGATAAACATCACTGTCCTATGTTACATTTTAGATTGTTGAGTTTTTAAACAATAAACTTAGACATTTGACACAAATGTATCTGTAGGAACACAATCATTGTAGGTCTAATTTAAAAACAAACAAAAATGAACAAAAAAGCATAAAGTAGGCTACAAGTCTGTAAGCAAGCCACAAATAAGCTAGTTTTCAAAGTGCACCTTTTAGTACTAAACATTTATGTGCTGTGCAGTTGGATAGAATAAAACCAAACGCACATGTGTGCAAGTTGCTAAACGTATCTTAGCATATTTATGGTAACATTTACATCAGCTGAACTGAGAGAAAAGGTAACGTTCCTAAAATCACTTTGTGTAAATTGTGTCACACTATTCTACCCAAAGAGGTTTTTATTCTGCTCTTTGATTGGCCAGTTTACATAACTGAAAGCAATTATTTATTTTTAATTTTTCCACTAATAAGCTTTTTGTTGATCCATTTAGAAGACCACTGAGACATGCTTTTGCTATTTTATATATTCAGTGCCACATTCCTCTTTGCTGCCATTATTACTATCACTGCATTTTTTGTAAAGTGGGCAGTGTTAAAACCAGATATTTTTGATATTAATAAAATGTTGCACTATTGAAGCTGGCACTTACTGATCATTCACCTGTATTTTACATTTGTTGTTCATATATTTATTTTCCTAACATAATTTGAAGGCTACAGAAATTGTGCTTGTTTCAGTATGCTGTATTCTCAGCATTTTGTGTTTGGCCTATGTATTTGTGTATAAAAAAATCATTTTGATACTGTTTAGTTTCGTTTTGCTTTGACCAAAAAAAGATTCAAATGAGCATGCCTGAAGTTACTGCTACATTATTTTACATGACAGTTTTCTAGTGCATTTACTTCTAAACAATACTATTTAAAAATTACAAAGAAAGAATAAGATGGTAAAAATAACGTTTTACCTCTTACTAAAGCATTGGCAGCATTTATATCTGGTGACAAATTTGCCAGCAACTTTCTTACCTCAGGTTTCCATTAAACTCTTCAGAAATCCAGAAACAATTTTTCAGTTCTGAAGCAATTAGTTGTTTAACAATTTTAATTCAGTGTTTAATAAGCTGTAATGCTAATATGTATTTCCAATTAGATATTTTCAAGTTACAAACAGCTTGCTTCAAAGATACGTCTAATTATGAATGTATTCAAAATCTACCTTAAAATGTCTGTTATTTATTTTTACATAATATGTGACTGTTGCTCTTAGGAGTAAGGGGAAAAGAATGTCCTGATGCCATGAAAAGTTGTTTCAGGGCATGTTTGCAGAAGTGGATGTAACTGTAACTGAAGGTGTCTTAATCTTTTAGAACCAGTAAGGGAGGGTCATTGTTGACTGAGCTGTTTTCAACAATAATGGAGCTCCATATAAGGCTTAACACCCTTATGCTGGTAGCAACCCTCTGAGAAATTACAAGCAGTCTGAGTCTGTGATCACACTTCAGTTCACAGCTGCAAAGGGATGCCACGAAAAGCACACAAATAACCCCACACTGTACGTTCTAAACCAACACTCACCACTTTTGTTTGTCAAGAAGTAGGCCAAATTGGCCTGTGCTGAAGTTTATGCTGCTACAATAGCTACACGTTTTATGGACAATATTCTCAGGTTTACGTAAAATCTTCAGCCCCTTTCCTATCAAGAATCTCCCATCTCCTCACTGCCTTCTTTTGCCATATATGTTGGGTTACTTGCTCCTATGCAAACAGTGTGTATGGAATTAGACTATAAAGTTTTCTGGACCAAATTTCTCCCATGTCTCTGGAGACCTCTGGATGTTACAATGGTGCTAAACGAGTCCAAGTGCACTACTTGGATCTTCTTTCTGTGAGGAGTTCTTCCATGATGGAGTTAGTGAGTCTAAGATTCAAAATGAAAGGACTGGTGTAACATTACTTAAGGTAAGTCTAAATTAACAAAGCTTGTGCAGGAGCTGCTTTGCTCTGTGTATAGAACCATCCTCTCTCTGTACTTCTTGCATTCAGTTTTAACCACGACCAGTGGCAGGTGGATCAACAAAAGGAGTTAGCAGAATTCAAGAGCTTTCTTTTAGCTTTCCTGCTTCCTCCTGGGCACATGTAGTCGAGACTGAGCTTCTGGTTCCTGTAAATGTATACACAGAATTTGAGGTAATCCTGTGTGTGACACTAACATTCACAGGGCAGTACTTTCCCTTTTGTCCCAAAAAAACATTTAAGAAGGTGTGAGAGGCACAGAACTGGAAGTGTCTCATACACTGGTGAGTGTTAAATTAGGAATCCCTGCCTGAGAGGCATGTTTTGGAGTCAAAGGATGGATGGAATTAGCTTAGATGATGAGAATTAGAAAGGAGGTGTAAGGATGGCATACACTCAAAGAAGATGTGTTCTTGTTCAGCAGTGAGATGCTGTTTATTTTTTTTTTCTACCTAGTTCATTGTCTTCAAAATAATACAGAAAAAAAGGTGCCTTTGGTAAGGCAGAATATGTGGATTTAAATTAAAATAGAAATTAAAATATACTATTAAAAATGATACAACTATCATAACTTCAGTTATGATGCAAGTTTAAGAAAATTGATCTTTCTCTGGCCAGTAAAGATTAGATAAGGGAAAATAAATGTATAAAGTTGATTCATTGCTGTATAAAAAGTATGACCAAGGGAGTGTTTATTTTGCTTTTTTTCCTGCAGCTTTCTTCAGAATTAGGCTTCTGGACAACATGCTTACTCATATCTGTGTTAAGGCAAATGAGGTAATGAATTACTTTTCTTTTTGCTATGAAGAATTTTCAATACCTTCTGAAGTCAGCCTTTAACTTGCTTTGAGAATCATACTGCAGATTCTCAGAGATTAAGCTGGCAAAAGAACACAACTGTTAACTGGTCCCTATCTGAGCTTAATTTAATATGGCTGTAAGCAATTAGTACTTTTGTCCTCTGCTAAATGGGAAAGAGAGTCTTGTATCTTTGAGAAAACAGGAAGGAAAGCTTATGGACTAAGCTGCTACAGGATAAACATTGCAGTGTGCTTGAGTTTCTAGTTGGCAATGACCCTCCTGGCTTGGTGTACAACCCCCACACCCTTCTGAATCCAGCTGATAGGTGCAGAACTCTCCCCTGAGACATCTGCCTCAAGGCTTGTGTTGTCCAGTTGCTACATTTCTGTAACCAGCTGTCATTTGTGATTGACACTTACCTGGTTCTATGTGGACTACAGACACCCTTTCAAAAGGGCACAGCACCATCAGGAAGGGTTGACTGGAAGGTTTCGTTTGGGATCTGAGCACCATGAGTCATCTTTGGATTGCCAGACTTCAGGAGGTGGCAGGTGACAGCAGGTGGTGTCGAGGGTAGGTTCTACTATGCAGGATGTATCACCTGGCAGAACGTCACCATCTGTGAAATCCAAATAAAGAGAGTAAAAAGCATATCCAGAAGAGAAATTTTCTGCCTTCTGGTTTCTCTGTGAGGTTTCAGAAAGACAGAAATAAATAACATTAAACCGATAGCGCCTTTAAGTACCGCTGAGAGAGCACAGTGTTTCCAATGATTCCTACCAGTCACCTTGTGATTTGTCCATGTTCTAAATATCTTGCCAAAAAACAGGTGATGAGTCACTTCTGACTCATATCTCCAGATCAGCAGAACCGTTTGCACCTTGAATGAGATCAAAGTCTTTTCATTTTACTTGCACAGAAAAAAGACTAATGCTTAGATTAAAATGTAGTATTATACCAAAAATCCTGAAGGGTAAGCTTGACATTACTCATTGCCCCTGGGGAGCAGACTGCAGACTTTGTCACCTGTCCCAGCTAGATGTGAAAACTTGCTCCTCTACGTGGTCATTCCAGTGGACTTAGCATATTCCTCTTTCTTCTATCATGACATTCACCCTACTGCAATTTATTAATCTCTGTGGTATTGCCAATTTATCTGACTCATATATTAACTAAGCTTTTTCTCAGTCAAAGAAGTGAATTAAGAAGCCCTTCTATTTATCTTTGAGACTGGGTTTGTAATCATTTTGTTCTATTCATCATAAATAAGGCATGACCAAAATACTATTTCTAATTTCAGATGTCACACCCCAGGAAAAAAATATCTGGCTGTTAGACAGATTGCAGAATTCCAGTAGAGACCAGTGAGACTGATGAGAAATACCGAAGACATGGCCTGAAGAGAAGGAGAAAGGGGCAAATTAATTCAAGGGATTTTTCTGAGTCTAGACAAAATTACATTTAAGTGAGATATTCTGAGGTTTTAAATACTTAATAAGGCTGTCTCGAAGAGCAATGTTATCAAAATTATGCTTTCATTGTTTATAGTGTTTAAGACAAAAAGTAACAGCTTTAGATTACAAGAAGAAAAATTGAGGCTTAACATGGCTCTTTGTCTAAGGATTGAGAGGGCAAGGGCTGTGGCTGCCTGAAA